CGACCCTCACCAAGCCGGAAATCGAACCAGAGCCTCGGCCACTCATTGCTGCTGCTTCTTCTTCGTCCGTCACTACTCAGCAACATACACACATACATAAATACAGGGGATAAAGAAGAATGAAACCAAAAAAAAAACGCAAAAGAAACTGAAAAATATATGTGTACATATATAAAAGAGCTTCTGTTTTTCTTGTTCTTCATTTGATTTCGGTTTTGGATTCAAAATCATGGTGTTTGTTTGAGGTCCGGAAGTCTGTTGATTTTGGTTGCCGATGCGAGGTCCGTCGTTGAATGTTGTCACGTTCCCGGCTAGCTTCAGGATATAGGTCGTAGTTTCGTCGAGGCTTCCAACCACTGTTTGGNGAGACTAAAAAAGATCAGCAGTCGTGGCTTCTTCTCTTCTTCGAAAAATCCCTTCTTTTCTCCTTCCGCCTGTGCACATACATAAAACACGCACACACACAGTTTTCTCGTGATAGTTGTTGAATTACAAGTTGTTAACGAGTAAAAAAGCTAATCTCCGTTCGTGTGGTGCACCTTGCGAAAGAAGCTATTGCAAATTTCAAATTAAACCAATTTGATTCCCTGGAAAGGTTTGTGCGTTTTATTTACTAACTAATTGATATCATAACATTTTCTTCCTTTTTCTAATCCCGTCTATGTGGTATTGTCTTTTCTTTGTTTTTTTCCGTTTTTTTTGTATATTAGATTTCAACTATTCTACTAATTTGGATAGTTTTAGTGTATTTAACACTATGTGAATTTGCTATTGGTTATAGACTATAAGATTTCTATTGTCATTATTTGTTAATTCGATTTGATTTGCTACACCTAGATTTAGATGCCCAAAATAAATTGAGGTATGCGTTCGTGCAACTTCGGCCAAACTTTCTTACTAATAACAAAGCGTTATTAATTGTGGACACATTCGCGTGACAGGATTTTTGACACGCCAAACAAATAGGTACACGTACGCGTGACCTGTTTCAATATAACTTCCTAATTAAAAGCGGCTAATGCACGTAGGATCTAAAATTGAGTAACTAAACAATTTGATTAAGCCAAGTATGATCAAAGCGACTGTGCTAGAACCACGGAACCCGGGAATGCCTAACACCTTCTCCCGGGTTAATAGAATTCCTTACCCGGATTTCTGTGTTCGCAGACCGATAATAGAGTCAACTTCCTCGATTCGGGATTTTAAACCGGTGACTTGGGATACCATAAATTATCCCAAGTGGCGACTCTGAATCTTTAAATAAATCCCGTTTCGATTGTTCTTTAATTAGAAAAACTCCCTTATATTTATACCCTTCTAGGGGTGTAGGTGAAAAAGGAGGTGTGACACTTAGGTCTCACGAGTCATGAGAAAGTCTAGTAAAGTCTTACAAATCGGTACGAAGATGTCTGTACTTATCTTCAAGAGGCTACAAGGCTGTTAGGAGCACCTCCCTTCTTGATTCCTCGTCGTGCGATTTGATTCCATTGAGGCGTATGCTTTTGTTTCCTTTTTATTCATTCTTATGTGATGTGGAGTGCTTGCTATCAATTGGGTATCGATGAGCTGTAATGGTACCACAGATGTGGTGCAAGATGTTTCTCTATGCGTATTCGAGTGGGCTATTATTGTCACCAGATGAAGGGGTGATCTTTCATTTTAGCCTAGTATTTGTGTTACCTACGACCGAGATTTGATACTTTCAAATTTGGAGGAATTCTTGTTAATATTGTGGCGTCATTCAAAAATGTTTAAATATGAGTCGGAGGCGTTTATCGAAGTTTGAATGTTTGAAAGTTGAAAGAAGGTTTCAATTGTCGATTCATAGTTTTGATATTGTTTGGTGTGATTTGCGGCCTCGAGCAGGTTTGTTTTATGTTTTGGGACTTGTTGGTGTGATTAGATGGGCTTTCGGGGGGGAGGGGGCTCGAGTGTGATTCAGAGTGGTTTCAGACCATTTTCCTTGTTTTGCAACTGCTGGTGTCTGGTTTTGTTGTTCACGAACGCGAATGGTCTTATGCGTTTACGAAGAAGGACTTTGGGGCTACTGGGATTTACTCATCGGGAACGTGATGAAGGAGACACAAACGCATAGGAGAGGCTGGGGTAGACTACGCGAATGTGACTTGGAGATCGCAAACGCGAAGAAGGAAGGGGAGTTGGGGCCTGACAGGCATTAAGCCTTCACGAACGCGGCTCGTGGCCCGCGAAGGTAAGAGGTTAGAAGGCTCCACGAATGCGGAGGTCTCGAATGGCTCCGCGAATGCGGAGGTCTCGAATGGGTTGGAGCTCATGGAGAGAAGAGTTTGATCATCTATGTAAAGGTAAGTAATTCCCGCATATTATTAACTAACTACATGGATTCTACAAGGATTTAAACATAGTAGAAATTGTGAGATTTTGAAAGAAACCTAGAATTTGGTATTTTGGATTTTGACCACGAAATTGGACATGGAATTGGGACTAAATATATTTGAGTTCGTAATGTTATGGGTAATGTTTATCTTCAAAAAGTTTCGGAATTAGGGCCCGTGGGCCCGAGGGTTGGCTTTGTTGACTTTTTGACCGAAGTTGGGAATTGTTATAAATTAATTAATTATAAGCATTGGAGTATACTTTGATCGATTTGCATGTTGTTTGACTAGTTTTGGGTCGATGGACATCGGTTGGAGGTGTTAGAGCATTTGAGTCAGTTATGGAACTTCAGAGCGAGGTAAATCTCCTGTCTAACCTTGTGAAGGGGGAATTTACCTCGTAAGTGTTATATTCTTATGTGTTACATGTTGTGGGAGCTACGCACGTATGAGCTGACTAGTGTCTGTGTGTATGCTAGAATTCCTAATTATCCCCTGGTAGACTTAGGTTCACGCCATGCTTTAATTGTACTATTTGAGTTATCCTTGCCTTTTTAATTCCTTTATTTCGCGTTATGATTTGAGACTAGGCTTACGTAGAGTGATAGACTTGCTACCAACTACTTGATTAGCCGTGGAATAATTGTGCTTCCCTTACGAATTTCTCCCACGTTGTGCGTTTTCATCAAAAAGCTTTCCTTAAATTTCATAACTCACGTGTTTATTCGTGAGTGGAGTCAATGACCCGTTAAAGATTCTCATTCTTATAACACGTGAATTAATTTTTTTAAATAGAAGACGGTTAGAAATAAGGACATAGATGAGCTAAAAATTAAACAGTAAATGTTTTTTTTACTTAAAAATGTGGAAGAAGGACTTTATTGTACCAAATTCAATACTTCATGGGTACTTAGGCCCTTTTCTGTTAAATATGTGGGGCCTAAGGCGGGGGCTTACCTAGGGTTTATGGCACTCATGACGTATGAGTTAGACGCACGTCATATGGTATTGAATTCTTCCCTTAAGTGAAAATGGTAAATTGTGAGCCCATTATCCATTGTATTTTGAACTTTGCGACATTTGTCTTGAAAATTTCTTAGTTAAAAAAGATGAGATACAAAAGAACTTGTTTTCTGGTGTGTGGATCAATCATGTGTGACAAAAAGGAAAAATTAAGTTAGAGAATTTGAGTTGAAATTAGAAACTAAAATCATGAGAACCATAAAAAAAGGCTATACATAAAAGAAGAAAAATAAAATTGATGAGAAGGTAAATATATTATTTAATTTAGTGAGAAAAATTTATCCAATTAATTCACTCAATCTTGCGTTTACCAAATGTTAAAAATTATTAAAATTTAAAATCTTTTATTAATAATTATATAATATAAATTATGGAGTATATATTATATAATAATATAGTAGTGCTTCTTATTTTCGAGGCCTTAAATATTCAGAAAAGGATATAAAGTACCCCTGAAGCATCGAATTTGGTACAATAAAGCCCTCCTTCCACCTTTTCGAATAAAAAAGCATTTACCGTTTCACTTTTGACTCCTTATTTCTAACATCCTTCTATTTTTAATTTTTTAATCCACGTATTATATTTTCATTGGCTCAACTTAAAATCTAGTCCTAAACACTAACCCACTTGTAGCCCGCCATTACCGATCCGCTCCCTTTAATTCATTTAACCCAAAGAATCCATTCTTTAAAGATACAACAACGTCTTCTTCCTCCTCTTTTTTTAATGGTGAACCTCCAAAACCAACATGTGATTTTTCAGAACGTTTTCCATTGATTTCATCAGCCAGAACCTCCGCAGGATTTTCAAAGGCAATGGAAATAACCTCAGGTCTTTTACTACTGTATTTTCGGACCGTTTTCCTTAGAACTTCAGGCACAGTTCTTTCCATGTGCGGCAGCGGGCAACTCAGTGGACATATTGACAGTGTAACATGTGCAGCATTATAAAGCGCATGCAGAAGTTTCCCTTTGTCAAGCCACAAGCAACGTGTGTTGATTCTTATTTTTCCTTTCAAAGTTTTCTTTATTGTACCATCCGTGGATTGAGGATGTAATATTTTTATACTGCATTACAAATACCTTACAAAGTTCAGTATCACACAACAAACAAGTATGTCATGCATCAAAAGCTTAAGAAGTTTACCTGACCACTATAATACTATCAGAAGCAATTCTTTGTCTCTCGTCAATACAAAGTTCAGCAACTGGAGATGGGAGATGGAGAATTTGAAGAACTTTAATGAAAAGAGGAAGAAGAAGAAGACTTTGTTGTGTCTTTAAAGAATGGATTCTTTGGGTTAAAATGAATTAAAGAAAGCGGGTAAGTAATGAGAGGGTTACGAGTGGGTTAGTATTTAGGGCTATATTTTAAGTTCAACCAATAAAAATATAACACGTGAATTAATTTTTTTAAATAGAAGACGGTTAGAAATAAGGACATAGATGAGCTAAAAATTAAACAGTAAATGTTTTTTTACTTTAAAATGTGGAAGGAGGACTTTATTGTACCAAATTCAATACTTCATGGGTACTTAGGCCCTTTTCTGTTAAATATGTGGGGCCTAAGGCGGGGCTTACCTAGGGTTTACGGCTTATTCTCTAAACTATATTCAATCCTTGAAGATCTGAATAGCTTTTTTATTTTGAATTTCCTTTTAATTTAATGTGCTTCAAATGAATATATAGTGAAGTACTTTATTTTTTCGTCTCCCAAATTACCAATTTGCTTTCAGTTCTCTGTTTACACATAATAGCCTTCATGGGTTCTTCATCGACGGATGCTTTTCCCCAAATTCAGGTACCCGCTAAATTTGCTTCTATTGTTATTGTTCTGCAACACCTTAGCACTGTTAATACCTGCTAGAAGATTATGTTCTTAAACTTCGTCCTTATTCAAGGACTCTCTTGTATCAGCTCATTTAATATTTTTATTGTTTTCCTTGGAGGAGGAGTTAGGAAAAGCAAATTGCCGCTTGACTAGATTATCGTGCATAGAAGGCTCAACTAGATAGACAAGTCATTTAGACGTAAGTAGTGTCAGTAGGACAAGAAAGAAAAGCTAAGAGGTCCAGGGCATATGTAGAGTTAAGGTGTATTAGTCGTATTGTCGCAGGTTGCTACTTATGCTATAAGGAATTATGCCAGCAAGGTTGAGATATAGCTGTAAAGGTATTAGGTTAAGAAAATAGATTAAATATGTAGTACCTAGGGTGTCTCATAGTGGGAGCTTAGTATGGTCTGGCCCTTCCCTGGACGCCGCGCATAACGGGAGCTTAGTGCACCGGGCTGCCCTTTTTTACCTAAGGGTGTCACAAAGCCGTCAATAAAATAAGTGAAAATCTCAGGATTAGGATTCAAATTCCAACAGAGACAAAAAACTTTAGGTGATTTCTTCCTAGCCACCTAACTTTGGTGGTAGAGTTACTCGGTACACGACTACATGTGTTAGTGGAAGATAGAAGCTACCTGATGGAATAGTAGAGCTACGCGCCAACTGATATTAATACCATCATTAATTAAAAGAAAAAGCCTTTATTAGAGGTAAAGACTTGGTTGATACAAACATATGAACAGACACAAGAAGACTTGCAGATCTTGAGGACTCTAGCAATGTGAACAAAAGCTTCTACAGAGGTTCGTCTTTAAAGAATGGTTATACTATATTGGCCACCTTTTACATGCCACAGTCAGGACCTTGATGGTTAGTTGATTGATTAATTGATAACTGGTAATTATATCTTATGACATGGAGAACATATTATCATAAAATTAAAAGGCTGTTTGGTTAAGTTAAATTTAAATGACTTTTAGTACCAAGTGCTGAATAGGACTTTTAAGTGTTGGAGATAATTTTATGAATAAAAAGTTATGTGTTTTTTAAGTTATAATTAATTTCGATACAGATTAATTTGAGCATATACTAATAATAATTTGACTAAATTCTTGACTAAAAACATACTTAAATAGTGTAAACGATTCATATAGATAGTATTATCCAAAAAGTAAACAAAGAAATATTTAATCATAAAATGAAATATCAATATAAATTATTTTTCAAGATCAAAGAACCACATAAATGAGACTGGAGTGATGAGGTTCTGGAAGAGGGGCAAACTCTTGTTCTTCGTGGAGGGAAATAGAGTACTTCTTAAGGGTTTTCACATGAAAGGAGTGATGAGGTTCTGGAAGAGGGGCAAACTCTTATTTTTCGTGGAAGGAAATCGAGTACTTCTTAAGGTTTTTCACACGAAAGGAGTGATGAGGTTCAAGAAGAAGGGCAAACACAAATTCGAGGTATATTTGCCTGTAGGAGATACTGGAACGGGTTGGTGCATTGTAACTCGGATTGCCACTAGAGTTGTCAACGGTTAATTTAGAGTTCTACATGTTGATACTCCGAGAGTATATTCATGACTAGACATGTCATTCAGGTTGTCTAGGTAACCTAGGACATGACTTATGAGGGGGTCTCGATAGTTATATTAGACATACAGGTTCGCTAGTTGGGGTCGCTTAAGTTTCTTTGGTTAAAGCATTGTGGTAGAACCATCCTTTCGAGGAGGCTACTTGGGAGTATAAGAAAGGACATGCATAGAAAATACCCGTAGCTGTTTGACATTTGGAGTATGGTTCTAGCCACGTTCATCCTCATATAGCAACTAAAAGAAAGCTAAATCGAATCGGAATAGGATAAAGAACGCATGAAGATCAGAGAGAAAGATGATTCTAAAAGTGAAAAGCGTAGAAGACTGATTGTCAGACTGGATGTAGTAACCCGTAGTTAATGAGGACTCCTTTTGTCATTGAGCATTAAAAAGGAGAATGAAATAAGTGAATAGTCAAAGCCCACAAAACAAAACTGAGGAGCAAAGGGTTTTATAGAGTCATCACAACCGTCTAAGCTTCTGCTGTATTAGCTCTATGTGAAGTTCATCAAGTGAGCTCATTTAGGAGCTTTCTGACGTGAATGAAAGTTTTAATATAATCTATACTACAAGCTAAAACATGTAGTGGGGCTTCCAAAAGATTGGGGTGCACTTCTCTAGAAGCTGTACCGAGACAAGGCAAATAAGATTCATCCGAAGCAATTCCTTACCTTGAGAGTGAGGTAGAAAGAGAGGAGGAAGAAGAAAAAAAGGGAGAGAAACCCCAGCTTGGTTTGCAATGATTCAAGGTTCTAATCCTTTTTGTTTCCATTTAATTAATATTATTAGATATAATTATTTTTTTTATCTACCAGGAATATTTATAGATACAATTATTGTTGGGATTGAAATAAAATTTGTTTAGATTTAAGTTTAAATTGTATTATTAGCATTGAGATTAAGTTATTTCCAATTGGAATTGACTGGTTTTATAGATTCAAGATTTTATACATGAATCTATGACTCTATGTATCCTTTGATTTGAGATTGAGGATTCAGACATAGAAAATTCATGAATTTGAGCCTAAAGTCCAACAACAACAACAACAACAACAACAACAACAACCCAGTAGAATCCCACAACGAGCCTAAAGTCCAAACAAAAAAATTTTTGAGTAATTGAATGGGTAATTGGACCAAGAATGGATAAATCACATTTTTGACTCACTGAATATGAAAACGTAGTAGCTCTAACGAGACCTTGCTGATGGAGAGTCGTCATTTATGGGTAATTAACATTGTTATTGCATATTTTGCCTAGATAAGTAGAGGCTATATGCTTTGGCTTGGCTTTGAGCTAAGTGGGACTTTAACCTCTTGATTGCTTTCTTTTCTAAAAGCATGATTTAGAAACTTGCATAAGTGCTTTAAAAAGGTGTTTTGACTGTCTAGTACTTTTGAGATATATACATCTTATGGTATGAAATGATTTCTATAAGCTCTTTAGCTCCATTATTCGGGGACTAAAGCAATGAAGGATGCATCTAATCACCTTTAAAATTGATCATGACTATGGAAGAAGTTCCAGGCATTCAACAGATCACTTTTAATGACTTCCCAGTAATGTTGATAGAATCCCATAGATAATCCATTCAGGCCTGTTACTTTTTTACACTGTACAATGATCAGGACCTGGAGAAGTTCAGGGAATTCAATCTTTGCAATTAGTACGATGCAGATCATTATGCAGTGTAAACAACCTGCATAGGTGTTGCGTTTTTCCTGCTCTTAACACAAAAGTTGTGGTAGAAAGAACTGAACTACATATCTGAAGATTTAAAATAAACCTAGAGACCTGAAGTGTCAAGCTTCTTTATTTAAGTGTTTATAATTTGAAGAGAAATAGAATAAGGTTTGGGTGCAAGCATTTCATACTTTTGAAGAAAACTTCTCTTTTAAAGGTATTCTCCTAACTGAAAAAGAGAAACTTTTGTGTGGGTGGCAACCTGTAGTTAGTAGCACACATCATAATTATAGATTTTTCTTGGGCATTTGGCATATGTCTGAAAAGCTTTAAAACTGTCGTGGTGGCGGTAGCAGCAGACATTTTCCCTCCTTTACTTGAGTGCAAGATAGGAAGGAAAATACAATAGTTGATGTGGAGGATGTTAAATGGTTGAAAATCACAATAACACAATCAATGGCTGTTATAAGAGTACCAATAAAAAATGATGGTTACAAGAATGGTACAGCAACCTGCAACTAGTGTTTTCAAAGGCATCGTTTAAGTTGACCTGTGGATGAGGCAAAGCAAAGCTCCCTGATAGTCAAGGGAGGGTGCTTGTCCAGGCGGGTGCACTCTCATCCAAATTGGATTGTACTTTCATGTTTTATGCTTTAGTGGCTTATGTGTTTGCCCTGCTGGAAATCTTCTTTTCTTTAGGTAAGCATAATCAGCAAGAGACATGAGAGAGTTTGGAATCATGCTAAGTTTGATTTGTTTTTGTCCAGAGTGGTTGATTTCTAGCATTGTCTTTCTTCCATTAGAAAGCAGATTCGTACTTGGATAGAAAAATCATTCGCCGAAAGGATCACTAGAATTGACGGTGCAACAGAAATTGCCAGAGGTTGGCTGAAGGGGCAAGAGGGAGAGAGAACGGGGAAAAGAAGGGGGGGGGGTGAGGGGAGAGAGTGAGAGTGAGACAGGTTGTTGCTAAATATAGTTAGATTTTATTTTAGGTTGTTTCGGTTTCTTGTCTGAGCTATTTTTATTTATTTATTTTTTGATTTTATATTTGATTTTCTGTCAGTCCGATATGATTTGTACTTTATGCTTTAGTGCTTATATGTTTCCCCTGCTGGAAATCTTCTTTTGTTAAGGTCTCTCTCATAATCAGCAGAAATGTGAGGGAGTTTGGAATCATGCTTAGTTTATTATGTTTTTCCAGTGTGGTAGATTTCTAGCATTGTCTTTCTTCTATTTGAAAGCAGATTCTTACTTGGATCGGTGAAAATCATTTGCTGAAAAGGATTATTAGCATCGACTGCGGGACAGAAATTGCCAGACAAGGGGGGTGGGGGGTGGGGTGTTAGAGAGATTGTTACTAAGTATAGTTACATTTTATGTTAAGCAGTTTGGGTTCTTGCCTGGGATATTTATTTATTTTTTGATAAGTAAGACTAGGCTATTTATTTGGCGGTTCTATGATCTTTTGTACTTTATTAAACTGTCTTGTTGATTCTTTGCTTGGATTTTGGGCTGGTCCAAACCAACTCAATTCTATCTAACTTTAAGAAAATGCGACATAACGTCCCATCACTTCAATATATCTAATTCCCTATTTTCTGAATGATATTGTATTCTCAAAACATTTTTAAATAATGAAAGCCCTTTCTCTTGCTTTTCACCTTTTACCTTCAGCCAATATTTGGAGGTTTATTCTGATTCGGAGCTAGCCAGTGTTGTGCATCTTCCTCAGTTGTCTTCTGATAATCAAGTCTCAAGGGTGAAGGGAGTGATAGGAAGGTTTGCAAATATGTTAACTTGATCATTAACTGTTTTTGGCTTTCCTAAGATTTTAATTGTTCCAAAAAACAGCTCCATCCATTTTCAGTATATATGGATGTCCAGCAGAAGTAATATCGTTGCTATCTTGGTCTGGGAGGCCAACCCCAGTGGAGGAGGAAAGCATGCTGCCAGTAGCTTATTTGTGGCCACTTAATTTCACCACTGGTTTTTATTAAGCAATGCTTTGCTTTACCGTTACTGCATTGTCTTTTTGATACCAGCAGGTCATGGAGGAAGCGATGCGTGTAACTTTTCCCAGTATGTTGTTTTGGTTTATATGGATGAAAAGCAACTACGATGAAGTCAGAGCTGAATTCATCACTTTTTAGACTCTTTCCACTGTTCCAAATGAAGAATGAATAGTCCAAAAGCAGCCACATATGATTCTTGTTTGAGAAAGCATAGTGTACAGTATAATGAAAAGCTATCCATTGTTTTTGGTCTTTTGTTTAGGAAATCAAAGGGGTGATGCTTGTGGTGTCTAAGTTAGAAAGATATTACCAATACATAAGAAAACAAAAGATTTAGTACAAAATGTAAATTATGAGCTGGTTTCTCATGGGGATAATTATGAAGTTCGGCTGTTTTCTCAGTCTCATAGATTCTGCAAATTTTGCAATGCTAGTCAAAATAAGATTGGTAAAGTCTTGAAATTCGCTGCACGATTCATTTAAGCAGCGGGCACGTTAATTTTGGCATCAAACATGATAAGTTGCTCATAGTTGTGGTCAGGTATCGGAAGATGAGAAGTCTATGGTCATTCATGCCATTAGCTATGAGAAACTCAGAAAGTTATCATGACTGTTAAAGAGCGGCATCAGTTAAGCGAGGGTAAGGAGAAGTTGGATGCTACAGGCAGGTTGGAGCATGTATCATTCAATAAGCACATGCAAGGGTTGGATGGATGTCATGAGGACAGAAGTGAAGTGCAGAGTTTGGATCTTTAAAAACCTTCTGTGTTGATTGTGTAAGGTTATAGTGTTTGAGATGACTTTCGGAAAAATTGGAAGTGGACTGAGGTTCGGGGGCAGGTTCTTGGTGAAATCCTTGTTAATCTTCCTCTGAAGAGGAAGGGGTGTGACTTCTTCATAGAGTCTGTCTGGCTACTTTGCTTTCCTAACTTACCATTTTTTCGCATAGATTGTCTTGGATTCCCAACTTAACTGTAGAAAAATGTAAGAAAGAGGCAGATCCTTTATAAAATTGGTGTTTTTTTGCTTTTTTTTGATCAGGTAAGCTAACTTTTATTAAGAAGCTTCAAAAAAGTACCAAGGGGGTACTTTCAAAGTACAAGCAAAACATCATAGGAAAAAATTACAAATAAAGATTGTACAATTCCATAAAATGTAACAGCTGCACTAAGTCTCCTACTACCCTTTCCTTACACCAAAAATATAGTTTCTGCAAACAATTATTTTTCAGCGTAGGAATGTGGGTCCTCTGATCTTCAAAGCATCTTTTATTCCTTTCTAGCCAGATGGTCCACATGATGCATAAGGGAATGGTCATCCACATCTTTTTCTTCCTTTTGCCTACTGATTGACCCTGCCAACTTTCCAGCAGGCTTCTAACACTGTTTGGCATTGCCCACTTCACACCATAGATGTTAAGGAATAGGTCCCAAATCTGTCTGGTCTGCCGGCAATGAAGAAACAAATGATTTACAGACTCCAGGCTTTCTTCACAGAAAAAACATCTACTGCATAAGGCAAAACCTCTTCTTTGTAGCATATCTTGGGTAAGACATCTATTCCAGGCTTAGAGGATTTGGTGTTTTTTCTTGCTAAAATACTGGATCCTCATGATACACTATGATGGCCATCAATATTGTAGAATAAGATGCTTAGCTGGTGCTCCGGTGAGGTGTGAGAGGCTGGCATGGGAGGGCTAACGGAGAGGCAGAGGCAAGGCAGAGGCAGCTGAAGAAGTATTGGGGAGAGGTTATTAGGCAAGATATGGCGTTGCTCCAGCTAGGACATGACCATGGATAGGAAGGTGTGGAGGTTGAGAATAAAGGTAGAGGGTTAGGTGGCAGAGTGTTGTCCTTGTTTTTAGCAGTAGCCAGTAGCTTTGATACACCACTTGGTGTCTTTCGTGTTTTTTTCGTACCCCTAGACTTCTGTTACTACTTCTTGTTGTATTGTGTCTCGGTTTCCTGATTGCATTGCCTACTGCTAGTTTTGTATTTCTGCTTCGGTTGTTAGATCAATTTTCTTGCTATTGCCCTTCCCCTTTCCCTGTCCTGAGCTGAAGGTCTACCGGAAACAACCTCTCTGCCTTACTAAAGGCAGGGGTAAGGTCTGCGTACACTCTACCCTCCCCAGACCCCTCTTGTAGGACTACACCGGGTATGTTGTCGTTGTTGTTAAGATGCTTAGCTAGGTTATTCCTAGATGTGCCGAGGAGCTTACAACCAGTTGGAGCGGAGGAGGAAAGAGGAAGAGAGAGAAGCCGTCGGATGTGATCCATCCACACATGGAAGGATATGAATTGGAAGACATTTGAAGGAGTCAAGGATGCCACTTCTTTGACGGAAAATGTGCAAGTACCTTTTGTTCATCTTGGAGTATACAGAACATCCCAATTTATATGCACAGATTGGATGACAGTCACAGAGAGCTCTGCCCCTTTTTTCTTCTTTCCTATAGCATAATTCTCTTACTCTCTTGTATGTCGAATTTCTGATTGTCTCCATAATGAAAATTGTTAGTTGTCAAAGATAAGAATACCTTTGCTAATTTTTCCTGTATCATTGTTCAATTGTTTTTCCCTTTTCTAAAGAAAACAAAATTACAAAAAAAAAGTGCAGCATACATGTAGTCTACCTTATGAAATGGTAATTTTTTTTGTTCATTTGACATTTCATTGGTTCTTATTGGTGATATAAATGACATATATTGGTATTATTTTGAGCAGGAAACTTTGATGGAATTTCGTGCCGGTAAAATGATCATAGAGGGGAAAAAAGTTATCCCTGATTCACGGAAAGGACTTGTTCGTATAGGCAGGGTATGAGGAATTCAAAAGAAAGCATATTTGATTTGGTTTGTCATTTTTGTTGTTCGCCTAAGTTTGACCCCGTCTAGCTTAAATGGTGGCGATCTTACAAAAGTGTTGCTTTATAAATGTCTAAATATCTGTTGTGAAATTACGGTGTCATTTTTTATATTTTAGGGTGAAGAGGGACTACTCCATTTTCAGTGGCTTGACCGTAATCTCAACATTGTCGAAGATGTATCCTTTTTCCCGCCAAATCATAGTGAATTCTGTCTTTGGTATTGCTTCACTTTTATTTTATTGATCATTGCTCTTATTCTGGAAATAGTCCCATTTACAGCGATTAATAAAAATCTGAGAGTTGTTTCTTGACAAAAGTTGATCATAGGATCAGATTGTTTTCCCAGAGGAGGCAGTTTTTGAGAAGGTATTTCTATTACCCGTTGCTTTATACTTTAATCACTGAAGAACTATCCAATTGCAACAAAAGATTTCTGTAATGTTTAAGATGTTCTCCACAAAATACTGAATCAATATTGTCTAACGACTAATGAGTGACTCTAAACATGATTGTCAATCTAAGAGTTTATTCCCCGAATTGTCACCCAACTTATGGAAATAACCTATCAATGTCACTTTTGTTTGGTTTGGGACAATAAAGTCACCCAAAGAAAATAAAGAACACCCATTTGGTATGCCATGTCATATTAAAAAATATGTTTTAATGATAAAACCCATTTAACCAAATGTCTATTATACCCATTTAACCCATCCGATAAGAAAATGGGTCTACTTTAAAATGACTAAGAGGGTGTTTGGCTAAGCTTATAAGCTGGTCAAACTGGCTTATAAGTACTTTTTGGCGTATCTACGCGTTTGATAAAATTAAAAGTGCTTATAAGTTAAGTGCTTATAAGCCAAAAGCCATAAGTTGGTCTCCCCCAACTTATCAAATTTCAGCTTATAAGCACTTTAGGTTTGACAAAAATATTTACTATTCTATCCCTAAAATAATTCTTTTTAAACAAAACTCTTCGTATACCCAGTTCTTCAACTGCTTATTATTAATTTCAACACTTTTATCAAAATACGTAACTGCTTATTTTTTAAATCAGTTTCAGCACTTAAAAGTGCTTTTCAGCACCTAATACTTATCACCTACTTAAATCAAATCAGCTAAGCCAAACGGGCTCTAAGTTCTTGTTTTTAACAAAGTAAATTCTTGTTAAAAGGATCGAAGCAACAAAGATAGACAAACCTTTTGACCGGAGGAAGTACTTCACCTTTTCAAAGTCATTAAATTAGCTTCTTTCCAATCTCAGAAACATCCATGAGGTAATTAAATACCTGTGCTTGCTCCTGTTGTATTCCCACCAAATCCGAGAGTAGAAGCTCTTTTCTTTGGTTCTCGACTCAATTGCTTTTACATCCAAAAATTGAGGCTTTAGAAATCTAGAATAGAAATCCAAAACCAATGAAAATTTTGTTTTTAATCCAGAATCAGTGTACGAAAGCTAAATACACGAATCTTTTTTCAGCATTATGTTTAAAACCTTATTTTAAAACCAAACCCGGGAGTCCAGTGTCTCCATAGGGAAGTATACATGCAGTGCAGTTTATGTCAAATTAAAATAGGTTATTTACTTAACCTTTAAATTTTCAAGAAATGAGTAATTAACTTTATAATTTGTAATGTTTTGGCTTCCACCACCCTCTGTCACACTATTATCTGGCCTGTAGAGACTGTAAATCACTGTAAAACTGTAAATGACTTTAATCTTTTAGTATATTACTAGTTTTATCACCCGCGCGAATGCGCGAGCACTAACTATGTAATATATTTGGGTTATTTTGATTATATGTAAATAATCTTAAAACTTAAACTTTCTCTATTAAATATAGATAATCATTGGATATTAATTAAGAAACACTACATGAAAAAGATTAACTATTTCTCAAATTTCCTAGATATAATTTAATTTTTCTTTTTTGATACCATTCTCGCTGGTGTCATTGGATCCTAAAATTAGTTGGAAGCAAAATAATAACTCATATTTATGACAAAACAATCAAAAGTTGAGACTATGAAGGACTCTTTGGATACGACTTGACTCTTTTACTACTACTTGAACTTTTATTTTGTGTGTTGATATCTTTCAAAAATTATTTTTATTTTAAAATTTCAGTTTCTAAAATAAATTATTATTTTTTTAAAAAATAATAATTTATTTTATAATAATGTAAGTGAAAATATTATCCTTAATTCAAAACTCATTTTAATCGGCTATCTAAAAATTTTAAAAATTGTTTAGCCAGTAAATTTTTTTTTTCCAATATGACTCCATTTTGATATTTGACATTAACCATATTAAATATCCGATTTATTTGAATGATATGTAAATAACCTTAAAATATAAACCTTCTAGATAATCGTTAGATATCAATTACGAAACAGTACATGATAATTTATTATTTCTATTTTAAAATTTCAGTTTCTAAAATAAATTATTATTTTAAAAAAAATAATAATTTATTTTATAATAATGTAAGTGGAAATATTTTCAAAACTCATTTTGATCGGCTATCTAAAAATTTTAAAATTTGTTTAGCCAGTAATTTTTTTTTCTAGTATGACTCCATTTTGATATTTGACATTAACCATATTAAATATCCGATTTATTTGAATGATATGTAAATAACCTTAACATATAAACCTTCTAGATAATCGTTAGATATCAATTACGAAACAATACATAAAAAAAGACTTAACATTTTCTCAAATCTCGTAGTGATAACAGTACATAAAAAAGACTAACATTTTCTCAAATCTCGTAGTGATAATTTTATTTTTGCACTATTCTCATTGGTGTCATTGGAACCTAAAAATAGCCAAAAAGTGAAATAATAACTCGTATTTAAAGCGCAAATGTTGGCACAATATGAACGATTCTTTGGTTACGACATGACTCTTTTACTACTACTTGAACACTTATTTGGTATGTTGTTATCTTTCAAAAAATATTTCTATTTTGAAATTCCAATTTCTAAAACTTTATATATATATTTCAATAATTATTATCTTTATAATGATGCAAGTGAAGATGTTATCCTTAGTTTAAAATTCATTTTAGTCGGCTATCTAAGAATTTAAATGATTCTTTAGCCGGTGAAATTTTATTTCATTATGACGTCATTTAGAGATTATCAATATCTAGCCACATATTTTGAATTTGGAATACCCTATATACAGAGGTGGATCTAGGATTTATACTTTATGGATTCAATTTTTAAGTTTTTAGCATTGAGCTCATTATATTTTTAGAGTTATGGGTTCAATTGAACCTATTGTCAACACTCTATATCTGCCTCTACCTATATATATATACACAATTTTTTTGTTCTTTGAATCATTAAATGTTAAATTAGTTGACTGTTATTATATAACATTGCATATATTGTCTTGAAATTGCCAAGTAGTTTTATCTCGACACCATACTTGGCTTAACCTCAATGCAAACTACTCAAATTGCATTTATATTCAAATTCAGATATCATATCAGTTTGTTAGTAATAATGATTTTTTAAAAACGACATACAATGTAAATTAAAAAAAATATTCTAAGATATCCTTGTCTTGTAATCTATGCATTCGAGTTGAAAAAAGTATTTAAAATCGATGATATCAACTTCCAAATTTTTTATACTTAATATAGATGAAACATAAGAAGAAATTCGTTGTCATCTCTTATTTCTGGTTTTTAGATTTTTCATACATTTTTTCTATATTTATTTTCTTTTATCTTATTTTTTATGTCTTTCTTCTTTCTTTTTTTACAATTTTTTTTTTATTTCTCTATAAAAGGATGAGTTTAAATAGAAATTGTCTACATAAGAATGTTATTTATATTTTTAGTCTTTAGTTGAAATTCTTCTATATTTTTCTTTTTGCTTTATCTAATCAACCTAAATAAATGCTCGCATTACCACTTAAATTAAAAAATTCAAGAATGTGTAATTTATATATAATCCATATATAATATGTGTATAATCGTGTGTTGCCAGTATATCATCTATGGATATTAGCTATAAAAAAGTAAGCAATAAATCTGGCCCGATATTTATGTAAATATTCCATAAGATTTCAGTTTCTTGATTTTATCCATGATATGACTTCTATTATAATAACTTAAAAACTCTACTAAAATTCAAAAATATCTTATCCTTTTATTTTTAAAATACATTATATTTTAAAAAATAATCCCATTTTGAAATAATTTGTTTACATTTAAAAAAAAATCATGTCATACCAATTTTTTTTTATAAATATACTTTTTGTTAATTACACTTAAAAATTTGCTAAGAAACTATCAATTAGAAACAAATGCCCCCCTTGTTGAATTCGAGAAAAATAACTTTTCACATAATCTAGTGATTCAAAATTGATATTTTTAACAAAAAAATATTAAACCCTTGCAATGCTGGTTTGACTGCAGCTAAATGAAGAGGTTTCAGCTTATACCCTTCAATTCCTAGTAGGTGCTAAATTAAAATTAATGATAGCAAATGTATAGCTAAAATTTTGTTATGTGTTTGATGTCCATTTATACAAATTGACTCTTCAAACAAACGTTTTTCAGAAAATGAAAAAAATAATGGTTTTGTATATTGACTGATTTTTGTGATGTTTCTTTCTCCAGCATGTAGGTTTACTTCATTATATATGTAAGTAAACTTTTATTCGATTTTTAAACTCTTTTTTGTTATCTGGCCATAACCATAGACATGTACCCTATATGTTACATTTATTTTAAAAGAAATCTATTTATTCAAATATATTGTTTTAAAGAACTATAATTATATGGTTTTAAATGTGAAAGTTTTATAGTTATATGAAATAATTTTTTTTTCACAGGCGCAATAGTATTTAAATAATCAAAAAAGATAACAAAAGTTCCTAGCAGCATATGATCATTAATCGAATTAAGTATGATAACTTGACCCCAAAAAAAGATAAATTTCTTTTTTTATTTTAATTCAAATTTAAAAACTTTATCTATAAATTCAAAAGTATTCTTTAATTCAAATTCGGATATATATATATATATATATATATATGACTAACAAAGTTAAATATAGAATAAAGTTACCATATACAATTTGTATTTATTAGCTTGCCACTTGGCTTAACCACAATGCAATTATATATGGTAACTTTCTTGCTTTAATATATATATAGATAGTTTGAAAAGAATATAATTGGCACTGCTTTGGAAAGTTCTCAACATTAATATAATAGATCATCTTTCTTAATATAGATCGATTTTCTTATTGGGTGCGGTAAATGGGTATAAGGGACGTGGGTTAAATGGTTTATCATTAAAAGTTATATTTTTATATGACATGGCATGCCAAATGAGTGTTCTTTATTTTTGAGTTTAAATAAATAAAAAAAGCAATAGTTGGGTGACTTTGCTGTCCCAAACCAGACTTTGGTAGGATATTCGCATAAGTTGGGTGACCATGGGAATTAACTCTCGATCTAAATATTCATTATTTACTACAGGAGGTCCAAACTTTCTCCCATTTGAATATTTTTCCTTAAATTTGTCATTCAGAGGTTCTCACATTAATTAATATCTGTTATTAATCCACTGTTGTCTTATACTCTTCAGGTCAATCAATCGTCTGGAAGGGTCTACATCTTGAAGTTCTGTACCGACGATAGAAAGTTTTTCTTTTGGATACAGGTCACTTCTGCTGCCATGGATATTTCTGTATGCTTTTGAGTTACAAGAACATGCATTGTGATAATTTATCCTTTCATTCCGTGCAGGAGCCTGCAGCTGACAATGATGCACAAATATGTAGCTCAGTCAACTTCCACTTGAATCAACCACTTGGTAGTCAAGATTTATTCCTGTTTTTGTTGTTTTTAATTCTTACTATTTTTTCCCTTTTAATTTTACTTTATTTCCTTTTTAAAGTTAAATATCTTGAAAGTTGATTTGGAAAAAGAATAATACATCTTCTACCAACTTAATTTATGATTATACGAGGATCAGCGCAACAAATATTAAGAGTTTTCAAGATATCAGTCCAATGTCTCTCTGCCTTAAGTTTCATTCTTTCCTGTCTGCCTATTTTGATCTTGCAGACTCGAATTTAGCTGTCAACTAGCCATCATGCACTTGCAATGTGGCAGGCTCTTCCTGAGCTTTGTGTGTGTATTTCATGTTTTTATTTTTATTTTTTATTTTTATTAATTTTTTAAATTGTTAGATTGATACCAATTCATGAAAATATTATTCATCAAGTGTCATGTTGTTTGGCTCTTAACATTTTCGATTTATTATGTGTCAAGTGTGAATCTCTTACCTTTAAGAACTTTAAGTGGGCTAGTTTAGGGTTGAGGTGTAGTACTCGTTGTAACAACCTAAAGGGGCTGCAAATGGAATTCTAATTTGGAGAATGCACTCTAATATATTGTTACAGTACCTACATTTGGATGATGTTAATTGACATTTTTTATCTGTATAGCTTCTATTATTCCCCAAAGTTGGAAGATTATTTAACATACCTGTTTTAACTTTGGTATATTTTGAACTTGTTTGAATAGAGTTCCCTGGTGAAGATGAGCCTGAAGCTTCAGCTCCATTACCAAATTCTGAAGATATGGTAGAGGAAGATATTTCATCGAGGTAATGCTAATATAGTTGAGCAGTATAAGATCTGTTTTTGAAGTTGCATCTTGCTACAAAAATTGGGAAGATTTATATGCTAACAAAGATTTCTAAGGACTCGTGCAAATGGGTTTGTCTCACTTCATGTTTACTTAAGAACAAAGCGACTAGTTCGAGGTTGAGCCAGCACCAACTACTACGACTCAATCCTAAGCAAGTTGGGGTCGGCTATATTATTCCTCACTGACTATGCTGCTTCAATCTTTAGGCCGAACGTATTACCCGTCTCCGAAGGCCTGCAAGTGGCATAGTTAATTAATTGATTGATTTGTTTTCCTTTTGGTGTTCCTTATAAGTAGTAGTACACGACCATCTTTATCTCTATGAAATTGCTGGAGGCTGGAAATATTTAAATATCTGGCTGAGCTCTTTCAGGGCGGGAAATTTGGTTAGTGCAAGCATGAATACTGAAGCAAGTAGTGATGTAACGTCTTCGGGTCCTGTAAAGTTGGCTGATCTTCAAAGAATATTGAGTAACATAGGATCCACAGGTTTAGTTGACTGCTTCCCTTCAATTTTGTTATGACTAACAATCTCTTATCATTTAATCTCCATTTGGACATAATGTTTTTTCTTATGGTTGGTGCAGATGAGGCTGTAGATCCTGATGCAGGTAGGCATTTGGTTGACTCATAATTTGTTTGAGCATTTTTATGCTTGGTGACGGCATACTGTAATTCACTATTTTTAAGTTAAAAGGATTTTGACGCAGTTAAACTGTTGTTGAGATGTTGATTAAAATTAGAGTGAAGAATATTTAGCAATATTTTGGTATACAGGAGTTAAAGCTTGATGTATAATCTGCTTCATTTGCTGCCTTCTATTTATCTTATGAGGGTTCTCCTTTACCTCTTTTTTTTCCCCTTGCAATTGGAGAACATCATCTAGAAATTTTAATGCCAAACGAGTACGAGTACAGCAATACTTTTCCCTTGAATAAAGCCCAGATCTGGTCGTTCATGTAATACAAACAATATAGCATATACACCATTGTTCTTAACTTATCTTGCTTCTGTACCAGGATTGGGATTGGGAGATATTTTGAGGCCTGAGCTCATATTACCACTGATTGAAGAAATACCACTAGAAGGAGAGCTAGCTTCATACTTGCCTGAGGTAAAAATTTGGCTCCATTGTTTCCCAAACTACAAGAATTGCAGTGGTGACGTTATCTTGAAAATTGTCATGTTTGCAGGGCCATTGGACACCACATGAATTATTGGAGTTGCTGCAGAGTCCCCCATTCCGCCAGCAACTAGACTCGTTTACTTATGTGAGTGATCAAATTCTCTGTCCTGCCGCTTCAGCTTTTTAGGTATTGCTTGCAGGTTGTGTTTGTAATTTGACTCTCTTCTCACTGCAGGTTCTTCGAACTGGACAAATAGATCTGGCTCAGTTTGGAATTGATCCCAGTCAATGTAAGCAAGCATTGCGTTATAATTCATCTTGGTAGCTAAAAGGAATGAAACACTAATAGATTAATTTCCAATAACTACTTAATTTTTCCAAATGATCAAGTTTTTGTCTAATCCCTCTCATCTCTGTTAAATTGTGTTTGCTTGTGGATGATGTTTACTCTTCCTCTGAGCCGAAATACTTTTGACTTCCTCTCCTTTTTTGGCTCCGTCCTTAATAAGATTGAACTTTTTCCTTAAATGGAAGATTGCTCTCCCCCCATCAATTTATACTAATATAAACTGATTTTAATCTGGGATGACCCGTATATGATGTGATATAATACGAAAGTTCGATATTGTAAATTTTAAGCCATTACTTTACCCTGCCATACTCAATTTCTTAATCATGCCAAAGTGGGTAAAGTATCAAACCTTTGCCTTTTGGCACCTTGAGCTCCAGTTCATGTGAGTGTAACTCTATTTATCTTAGTCCCGCTGGTGATACCTCTGATCTAGCATTTCAACTGGTCGTTGCTGATTTAGTACCAGAACTTTGTTTCTAAGTCATTTCTGATGCACTGAATCATGCTGGGACAATCAAATTGTCAGTGCTGTTTGAGTGTTGAAATTGGTTAATATTTATGTACACTTTGTGCAGATAAGTTAACTGTCCCATCTTTTCTTGAGGCACTGGAAGATTCTGTTTCCGCTGCATCAGGATCCAACGAGTCAAGGCAGGATGAGAAGGATTTAAGATCTCAAACGTGCAACAGAAGTGATCCCATGGATGAAGGCCATTAAGATAATGAGTCCAAATCAATACGAGATGCTCTTATGGAGTTCTCACAATGTTGATTCCCCTTGTTTAATTTTAGAGAAAAAGAATTGATTTCCAGATGATGTGAACATTGTTGTTTGCTAGCACTGTAAAGAATTAATGATTTGGGGTGAAATTTCTTTCATTTGTTGCCTCATTTTATGCCAGACAAAGTATACGGCAAATTGCGTCCAACTTATTATTGCAGCTGTTCAGGTGATAAGACATTCAAATCATTCAATTATATGGGACCGTGTATGATGTTTCACGTCACCATCAAAATTAAAAGGTTCTATTGCATTAATCATGGATTCTCGAAATTCTCTGTTTCCTCTTCATTATTTTCAAAGAAGAGATCTAGTCACACGCAGCCTGAAATTTGATAAGATCGCTGGTGGTAGCTCCACTAAAATGAAATTGAATTGTGCTTGGATTACTATTTTCTTGAGTTGCCTTGACAGCACTGTTTATTATTTGAGTAAAATATGTTATATTGGTTATTGCTTGGCAGAAATGTTCTTTTGATAGGACCCCAAGAAGTCGTCTTATGACGTTAACAAGACAAACATGATTCTAGTGAAAACCTGAAGGAATAGGATTCCTGTTGTCAACTGCTTCACTAGGATAAAGAAAGGGATCCCTCGTTATTTAGGGTTATATTCATGCATTTCATTCAATTGCAATGNTATATATATATATATATGTATGTATAAAACGAATTCCAGTTAAGTATAAGAATCCAAAGAAGTGATTTTTTTGCATATTTCTTTCATTTCCACTTGTGATTTGATTTTTGACCAATGATTGATCTAAGGATATGCAAAAAATGACTATTGTGATTTAATTATCGGGGTCCTACTCAAGTGTAGTTATTCATGGTGAGAACTGTTTTTTAAGTTGACGACTAAATTAAATACATTTTGTTATGATAAAAATCAAAATATGGTGGATGTCTACTCTTCCTCCATGATCTTTCTCTCAAATGGTTAATGACATATTCAATGACATATTTTCTATGTTCAATGACATATTCCATGACATATTTTATTCACTTTTCATGCTTATATAAATGCCTTGTAATAGATAGGAAAATACACACAATTGAAGAAGAAAATCTCTTCCTTCTCTCTATCTCTATTTCTTGTTCATGTTTTACTAAATTGCTTTTATTCCATAACACGTTATCAGCACGAGTCTCTAACTAATTGTATATATATATCTACAAAAATTTTTCTACATCCGGAAAGATTACAATTAGAAGTCATACATATCATCACATGGTTAAATGTAAAGAGAAACTACATATGGTAAGTAATGAAATGTAAGAAGGTATGATTATCTTATACTTGTCATTCCTTTAAAATCTCATATGCACACAACTTCGTACTACACCTGTATTGCATAAGCACATACTAATATTACATCTTTTATATCACGTGAATGGAATAAAATTTGAAGTTCTATATGTGAAAATCATAGTAGCAGTTAATTGTTGATATGATGCATGACATGGTAACCAAGGATATTTTATATAAATTGTCCTATGCATATTTATGTGTTAACTATCTTCAATCTGTCCTGCCGCTTTAAACATTTTCTTTTACTTGGATGAATATTTTTTTTTCCTTTTGGATTTTTACACTTGCATATAGTACCAAAAAAAATGGAATAAAAAATAAAATAAAATAGGTCATACTGATTAAAAACATAAATCATCTTGAAGAAAACAAGAAATACTTCACATCTTTATCTAGGTTGATTAATTACTTCTTTGATATTTGGAAAACAAACCAGCTATTTGAAAGTATACTTCATAATTTATGGTCGTATCATTTGAAAGCAAACAATGATTAGTATGTGTAACGACCCGGCCGGTCGTTTTAAGCTCTAGCGCGTCGTTCAGCAGTTGGAAGTCATGAACAACTTCATTTTAGGTATATTGACTTGTACGTATGGTCAGAATTGAATTTCAAGAAATTCGGAGTCAAATTGGAAAGAAACTTTTCATTGCGGCAACCTTAAGTTGAAGAAAATGGCTAAGATTGGAATTTTGAGTAAACGACCTCGGAATTGGGATCTGAAAGTTCCAGCATGTTC